CGTAAAATACGTAGGTAATTCCTGATTCCCGAACGTGTAGATCTATTGACTGACTATATTGATAATGATATGGGACTTGGGGATGAAAGTGAAAGTAAAAACAAGGTATTGCAATCCGCACGTGGTCATGGCAGCGGGAGACGTGATGCGCGTGTTCGCGGCGGCATTGCTCATGGCTGCTATTGATATTTTTGTTCATTTTATATATCTTTATCAAAATCCAGTTAAAAAAACAATATCTTTTAAGTATTTCATGGAGAAAAATTCGTTTTCGTGTTAGCTTTAGTGTGAAATGAGAAATCCAAAATGGCCGCCATGACGTCACGTGACTACATTATTATGCAAATTTCCAAAATTCTATTTTTTCCTCTTAGCCCAACCTCATGCCCATCCCAACAGACAAAAAGATTTTTCATAAAAGCTTCCATAAGTACTGCTTGGCATTCAGTTCCAACCTCTCTTTTTTCCTCAAAAAAGGGTCTAGCACAGGCAGTGGATTTACATCTAGCATTGAAAGGGTTAAAACATATCTTTATATTCCAAAAATCTTAGTCCCTGTCAATATTTGTGCATTTCAGACCATAACTTTCTGGATTATGGCACCTGATTGTACAAAAAATCGTTTTTTAAATTGCTTTATCATTAACTATACCGTTAGGAGTGGCATCTGTTCGATTAGTACAAATAATATCTCTGAAACACTTCAATTACATGATACTAGCAGTAGTTTCATTTTACTTTTACAAGGTTCTTAAAACAATTGTTAAAGATATGGGAGATAAGATAAAGAGCTGCCAGTTCTCATTATAATAGGTAAAAACTAGATAGGGTTAAAAGCTGCTTGCATGACTCCTGACGCAACCTTTCACTACAACCGGTCAGATCTTCATGTATTGTAGGCCATCGAAAGTATCAAAAAAAATAAACGAAATATAGATCTGTATTTTAATCAGATTGTTTAACAGATGGACAATTTTCTTCACTTTTTATATTCCTACATGGAAATGTATTCGTATATTGCCGTTGCCACCGTCCGACCGATGGTTTTGAAATTGATATATGTTGTTTACATTAGTGAGATTAAGAAGTCTATTTATTTCCGTTAATTTCTTCTGGAGCTATATTAGTCCGGTGGCTGAAGGGGGGGAATCGCGACCCGAGCTGTGAATTTATGAGACCAAGTCTTTCTAGACCAGTTTTTTGCGTAGATTCCGAATCTGGGTGGTGATCAGGTGTTTGAGGGGGCGTTTTCGAGATATAGGGGGTGAAATGTCTACAATGGGGGGGGGGGGGTGATGTCATTATGTTGGCATAATATATTAATAAAACATAAATTTATAGGACTACCCATCTATAATTAAGTGTTTATGAGGCAACTGTTTTGATTTATGGGGAGGTGGGGTGGGGGTAGCAGGTGTGCGCGTGTGGAGGGGTGGGGTGGGGATAAAATTGGCGGGGAAATGAGTTCACGTTGATTTAAATGATGATTTTCCAAGAGCTTGATGAAACATCTCTAAATATGTTTATAAGATTCCTATTGTATGGGGGTGGATGCCGGGGTGAGTGCCCGTGGGGCGGGGGGTGGGGGTGTTGATGCCGGTGTGGCGGGTGGCAACATGTATTTTTGTGGACAGAAATCATTTCGTTCATAATTGAGCTTAAAGTGGTATCTCGTTAGCATTTTCGTTCGAAATATTAAATTATTATGGTACTTTTCAAGAGATCTGGAATTGTAAATTAAAGACACATTAACTCAGAGATATGTTAAGTTGTTAGTTTATTCTTAGTCATCATCAGAAGATTCAAAATCAAAAGTTCATAAGTGGGGATAGCAGGTGTGTGTGTGTGTGTGTGTGTGAGTGTGTGTTTGGGGTCATTATGTTGACATAATATATTAATAAAACATACATTTCTAGGACTGCCAAGCTTTAAATAAGTGTTAATGATGCTCCTGGACAGCTGTTTTGTTTTGTGGGGAGGTGGGGTATGGGTAGCAGGTGTGTGTGTATAGAAGAGCGGGGGGCGGGGTACAATTGGCGGGAAGTGAGTTCACGTTGATGATTTTCTTAGAGCTTGGTAAAAACATTACTTTTTAATTCCACTGCACATCTCTAAATATGTGTATACGATTACCATTGTATGGGGGAGGGTAAATGTATTTTGGGGGACAAAAACCACTTGGTTCAAAATTGACCTGAAAAGTGTTTTCTCGAGATTTTGTTCAGTGCCAATATCGTCATTCAAAATATTAAATTATAATAGTACTTTTCGAGAGATCTGGAAATGTACATAAAAAACACATATTTAGATATTAGTTTATTCTTATAATATGTGCGGAAAAGATATCTTCTTGATGGCTGATCAACAGCCTGTGTATATCCTTTGGATATGCTTCAGATACCCATTCACATTGTAAACTTCATTCCAGCTTTGTTTTGCCGAGTTACCTTGTTCGATCATTAATTTTGCAACCTGTCTCCATATTGCTGCAACATAATTATTGCGTTTAATGTGCAGCAAAAGACTACCCAGGCAAGATGGTAATAAAGAAAGAAAGTTTTGTTATTTTTCATCACAATTAAAATTCCTCCAGAAGATCTTTCTTCTAGTGTCATCTACTGATGTAAGTTGGTTTTCGCCGTACAAGGTACATTTAGTACATGTACAAACAATTTTTTCTAAACCAGCAATTACGTCATCAGAAGCATCATTTGTCTTTCCCAGCTCTTTAAAAATTGTTAGAAAGTTGGGATTATCTTGAAAAAGAAAGACAGATAGTCATTACCACGTAAAGCATGTACCGTAGGCCGAGATATTCTCGACACTTCCAATACTAATCTTGATTGGATCAAAAAATATCAAGACTAGTATTGAAAGTGTCGAGAATATCCTAAAACTGACAACCAACCACGAGGACACCAAAATATCTTACCTACTTCGCATTGCAAATTAATGGAGGTGCTGAAACAAATTGTATTTTGCGTTTTTGCTCGGGCGAATTAGACATCCCAATCAATCTCTTCGCAAACGATGAACCAAATATGATAGAAAATTTGCGAAAGATGACTTACATCAGTAGATGACGCTAGAAAAAAGATTTGCTGGGTGAAAAAATAACAGACCTTTCTTTATTACCACCTTGTCGTACACATGGTCTTTTGCTACATGGCTGGAATGAAGATTTACAATGTGAATTGGTTTCTGAAGCATATTCAAAGGATATGCGAGCAACCAAGAAAATATTTATCTCGCTCATATGGACTTTTGATTTTGAATCTTCTGATGAAGACTAAGAATAAACTAACAACTAAACATATCTCTGAGTTAATGTGTTTTTGATTTACATTTCCAGATCTCTTGAAAAGTACCATTAAAATTTTAAAATTTCGAACGAAAACGCTAACAAGATACCACTTTAAGCTCAATTATGAATGCCACCAGCCATCACCCGCATCGACCCCCCCCCGTGTCCACCCCCATACAATAGGAATCTTATAAACATATTTAGAGATGTTTCATCAAGCTCTAAGAAAATCATCATTTAAATCAACGTGAACTCATTTCCCCGCCAATTTTATCCCCACCCCACCCCTCCACACGCGCACACCTGCTACCCCCACCCCCCTCCCCATAAATCAAAACAATTGGGCAGGGGCATCATAAACACTTATTTATAGATGGGCAGTCCTAGAAATTTATGTTTTATTAATATATTATACCAACAAAATGACATCACCCCCCCCCCCCCCATTGTAGACATTTCACCCCCTATATCTCGAAAACGCCCCCTCAAACGCCTGATCACCACCCAGATTCGGAATCTACGCAAAAAAATGGTCTAGTAAGACTTGGTCTCATAAATTCACAGCTCGGGTGGTGATTCCCCCCCTTCAGCTACCGGACTATATGGACCTTGTTTCATTTTGTTGCACATTGTGAACACTTGAATGACCGAAGTTATATGCCTCATTTAAATTAGTGAAATGAAGACGCCTATTGAATTATAGCAATAGCAATTTCAATTTTTTCTGAAGCTATGGCCCTTGTTTCACTTTGTTAAACCTTATGAATGCTCTAACAACAAAAGTTATCATCCGATCGGTATAAAATGTATATGCATCATTTGAGTAAGTGAAACAAAGAAGTCTATTAAATTTCAGCAATTTCTGTTAATTACTTCTGGAGTTATGGCGGGTCCTCCGGTTTCCTCCCACTGCTAAAGACCCCTACGCGCAAGCGAATTATTGAAATAAAATTAAACCATATGTTAGTCCTGAAATGACCTAGTTTGTGTCGAGTGGACGTTAAACCCCATTTCTCTCTCTCTCTCTGGAGTTATGGCCCTTATGTCACTTTGTTTAACCTTGTGAATGCTGTAATGACAAAAGTTATCATCCGATCTGTATAAAATTTTTATGCATTATTTAAATCAGTGAAACAAAGAAATCTATTTAATTGCTTCTAGAGTAATGGCCCCTGTTTTGCTTTGTTAAATCTTGTGAATGCTCCAACGACAAAAGTTATCATCTGATCTGTATGAAATTTATTTACGTCATTTAAATTAATGAATTTACATATGGTTAAAATGGAATATATTTGACTGGAAACACAATGAAAACACACTACTAATTTAACTTTAAACACAATGAAAACACACTACTGATTTATCTGGAACCACAAAGAAAACATACTACTGATTTGACTGGAAACACAATTGAAACACACTACTGATTTGACTGGAAACACAATGAAAAAACATTGCTGATTTTACTGGAAGTGCTGGGGAGATATATTGCAGATGAAATGTGATTTTTTGCATGATTTTATCCTGGGCATTTATTGGATGCAAAAAAATCAACAGTAAATGAGATTTACAAGCATCCATTTATAAAGTGCTGCATTTTCGTTGATGTAAAATTCTATATTTAACATTTAACCTGGCATGCTTGGGGCTCTTAAACTATTATTATTTACTGCATGTTTTTTTTTATTATTATCAGAAACGCTTACCATGGTGCTAGTCCATATTTAATGGGTTTAACAGCTTTATCTACATGGAGATTTAATACACCAACAGGATTCGGTATTCACCAGGTATGGAAAATATGACTAAATATTTTCACTTTTGGTTGCTGTGTTTTAAAAAAAAAAAAACCCTCAAAGGACAAAAGTATCTAACTCAATATCATCCATAGTCTTCTGATATCTATGAAGGTCCATTAGTGCCAAACGAAAAAAATATTAATCCATTTGAATGAGTTAGTGTCTCATTTGAACAAATTAGTATCTCGGTTTGGACGAATTAACTATCTCGTTTGAACGAATTAATTATCTCTTTCGAATTAGTGTCTCATTTGAACAAATTAGTATCTCGTTTGAACGAATTAATCATCTCGTTTAAACGAGTTAGTATCTTGTCTGAACGAATTAGTATCTCGTTTGGATGAATTAATTATCTCGTTTGAACGAATTAAGATTTCGGTTGTACAGAAGCTTGTATGGGACATGCAGAAATTGTGATCCTAACAGGTGTTTTAAGTAAAGTTCTTTAGTATTTCTAGCGTTACTGTCAGTAGAAGGAACTACATTTATGAGAAGGAGAGTTAGTATAGAGAATATGTTGGATGTTAATTCACATTTTAAAAGCCGAATATGTTTAATGTTAGCCTGAATTAGGCACAACATCGTAGTGAAGTCATTGTTTTATGACATGTATACAGTCATTATGCAAGAGCTAAATCTGCCTATTGCGGGTCTTTCTGTAGGCCTTAAATGTTATATAAACTATTCATTAGACATTTATTAACATGTTTAAGTAGATAAGAACGGTTCAGCCAGTACGGTGGTTACATTCCGTGCAATGTCAAATCTTCAAAGGCTAATATCGTTGCTCAGAATCGTTGCTCAGAATAAAGTAATTTAATGAAAATTTCAGTATATTCATTTCGCATTGTCTTTTTTGAACTACTATTACAAGAACGACCAGCTCTTTCTCTAAATCTTACATAATGTATCTTTAATATTGTAAAGACTGAGATATGAAACACACCCAATTAAAGAAATAATTATGCATTAGCTGAATTTTCGCTAGCTCAGTGAACAGAACTACAGGTATACGATTGCTTGTCAACGGGGTTTACATATTAATTGATCTTTGCAGTAAAGTATTATCCCAGAGTAAATTTATTCCTAGTGTTGACTGTGTTGCAATACAACGGATGTAAGAGGATTTGGGTAAGTTTCTAAGATAGAGGGGTGGGGGGGTAGAAGAAACGACTAATTTGCGATGTCTTGTTAGAAAAGTCTGTAGTCCTCGGATGACACAAAAACTGTGGATGACACGAAAAACCTGTGGAATGCAGTAGCAGTATGCAAAACGAATCAAGCGTAGTAAACATTGCCCACATTGCACGTCTCATCCCTGCCACTAGGGTCCCATGTGGCAAAGCTCGAGAGAACAGGGGACCTGAAACCGGAAGCCACAGAAAGGAACGACGGCTCAAGGTGACTGTGTCGGCTTTCACCGGTAATCAAGCGTAGGGCGGTTAGAACAGCTGTCCTCGCTTGAGCCAGCGTTCGCTTATGCAACCCCCAGCTTCAAGTCCTCTGTCCTATCGAGGCGAGGAAGTCGGCCAACGACAGCGTCAGTTCTCCACAAGGTTCCCTCGTGGGAGGGATGCAACGTACAATGCGATAAATTTTGCGGCACTACTACTCCTGCTTCGTTTTACATGCTGCACCCCTCACCCGTCTATCTTAGAAACTCACGCAAATCCTCTTCCAAGGCAATCAACACTGGAAATATTAATTCTTAATATGTAAACATCGCTGACAAGCAATCATATACCTGCTGTGCTATTCACTGAGCTAGTGAAAATTCAGCTAAGAAACACCCATTTTATTTCTTAATTGGTTGCATTTCAAATCCACGTCCTTAATATATCATACATATACCTGTCGTAATGCCTGTTTAAGCATATACATGTCATCATAAACAATGACTTCACTACAATGTTGTGGCTAACCCAGGCTAACATTAAACAAATTGGATAATTTCCACCATATTCTATACTAATTCCCCTTTTCACAAGTGTAGTTCCTTCTACTGACGCTAACGCCAGAAATAGTAAAGAACCTACTAATATCTTTATTTAAAACACAATTTCTGCATGTCCCTTCCCTCTTCTGTAGGCTACAATCAAAATATTAATTGGTTCAAACGAGATAGTTAATTGGTTCAAACGAGATACTAACTCGTTCAAACAAGATACTAACTTGTTCAAATGAGATAATTAATTCATTCAAACAAGATACTAATTCTTTCAAATGAGATAATTAATTTGTTCAAACGAGATACTAATTTGTTCAAATGAGATAATAATTCGTTCAAACGAGATAATTAATTCGTTCAAATGAGATAATTAATTCGTTCAAACCAGATAATAATTCATTCAAACGAGATACTAATTCGTTCAAACGAGATACTAATTCGTTCAAACAAGATAATTAATTCATTCAAACGAGATACTAATTCGTTCAAACGAGATACTAATTCGTTCAAACGAGATACTAATTCGTTCAAACGAGATACTAATTCGTTCAACGAGATAGTAACTCGTTCAAACAGATTAATATTTTTTTTTGTTTGGCACTAATGGGCCTTCGTAGAAATCCAATATTTAAGACGAAATGAAAATATTAATGCTTTCAAGCGCCATTTGTAATGAAGTGGCTCGATGAACGAGGCTAAACATATTCCACAAGAGAATTCTGCCTGTGTAGACTGGAATAACCAGATGCCAAAGACTCCCATTCAACTTCGACTCGTATTTCGCGGAACATAACTGATTAGAAATTACAGTAAAAACAGAAACGATTGAATGTAAATCAGTTTATATACATTAATATTACATTATTATAAGCGTTGCGACCCATTTGTGTCCATTTCTAGGTGCTAAAGAATAAAGATTTAGGTCCTTTAATTGCAGCCCACAGCACAAACATACTTTTAAAGTTGAATAAATTAATACCAACTTTTTGAAGTACAAAGTTTAATTTAATAATTTTCTTATAGGTAATGAATCCAGATCCATACCGTGGACCTTGGGGTGGAAAATATTGTAGAGATTCTATTTGCCAGGTAAGAGTTTACATCCTATGTTTATGTATTTAGACGAATGGTTATTTTATGTTTTTCAATTATTATGATTATAAACCATGTGAATGTGTTAGACAGGGATTTTAATTGGCAGCAGTGAATGAATTTGTTCAAACTTGAAAAGCACAATAGAAACTGCCATAAAGTAGTTTTGCTCTATATAAATTGAGAATTATTATTATTAAACCATGTAAATGTATTATATTTACAGACTGACAGAGATTGTGATTGTAAACCAGATGAATGCATTAGCTGTGATTTATATGTTGATCAGCTTGAAGATGGACTGCGGTTTTCAATGCCGAAAGGAAGAGTTGGTGGATTTTTTGCTGAATCTATTCAAGTAAATAAATTCTAGGGTACAAAATTAAACACCAAATTCTGAAGAAGTATCCTAACTGTTGAGCCTTTTGGAAGTGATCAATAGATTTGATTAACAGGTTTATGTTTGTGGACAAGTCTCTAATAGGCACATGGGTATAGCGTGAAATTACCGGAATTCTGAATCATCAATGCACTTTCAAAATCTTGGATATGTCTGAGAACCACTTTTTATTCATCCACAGTGAAATATTTTGAGTGACTTGTGAAGGCTTCCAATCCCAACAAAAAAATAAAAATGTTGTTAATCTTTGTGGACCGCTCATACGACTAGCAGCCGTGACTGTATGTTTCGTCGCCTGGATTTTTATTCAGTGATTTTTTTAAAAATTTCAACACTTTATATCACCAATACTGTGACATAATTTTATTTAATTCCTCCAGAAAAGTTTAAAAAATTGGCAGTTTATTATCTGTGAAAGAGTATCATGACTACAGATAGTTGTACGGAACTAGGATTAACCTGCATGATTCACTAGAATATATCTGAGATGACTACATTAAATAGATATTGTTGTTATTATAGGGAGTTGGTGGAACCGTACAATATCCTAAAGGTTATTTAAAGAAGGCTTATGATGCTGTACATGCAAAAGGAGGTGTATGCATTTCAGATGAAGTAAGTAATACGGCATATTTCATTTTTTATACGCCCACATTGAAATGTGGTCGTATATTGTCGTCGCCCCCACCTGTCTATCCGTCCGTCGTCCACAATTGCTTGTGGACGCTCTACTGGCTGAAGTTAATATCTGATTGACTTTAAATTTATACACAGTATTTAAAGTCATGAGACGAAGAAGCCTATTGATTTTCAGTGATTTCAGATAATTACTGCCAGAGTTATGGCCCTTGATCACTTCAAAAAATCTTGTGGACGCTCTGAGGCCAAAGTTAATATCTGATTGACTTTAAATTAATACACAGTGTTTAAGGTCATGAGACGAAGAATCCTATTGATTTTCAGTGATTTTGGATAATTACTGCCAGACTGATGGCCCTTGATCACTTCAAAATATCTTGTGGACGCTCTAGAGGCCAAAGTTAATATCTGATTGACTTTAAATTTATACACAGTGTTTATCAGACGAAGCCTATTGATTTTCAGCGATGTCCGATAATTACTGCCCGAGTTATGGCCCTTGATCACTTCAAAAAAATCTTGTGGATGCTCTAGAGGCTACAGTTAATATCCGATTGACTTTAAATTTATACACAGTATTTAAGGTCACGAGACGAAGAAGCCTATTGATTTTCAGCGATTTCAGATAATTACTGCCAGAGTTATGGCCCTTGATCACTTTAAAAAATCTTGTGTATCTGATTGACTTTAAATTTATACACAGTGTTTATGAGACGAAGCCTATTGATTTTCAGCGATGTTCGATAATTACTGCCCGAGTTATGGCCCTTGATCACTTCAAACAAATCCTGTGGATGCTCTAGAAGCTAAAGTTAATATCCGATTGTCTTTAAATTTTTACAGAGTGTTTAAGGTCATGAGACGAAGAAGCCTATTGATTTTCAGCGATTTCAGATAATTATTGCCAGAGTTATGGCCCTTGATCACTTTGAAAAATCTTGTGGACGCTCTAGAGGCTAAAGTTAAAGTAGCTAAATCGCTAACATTTGGGACCTGGAAATTGTCAAAAGTGGGTCGCAACGCATATAATACTGTAGTATGAATGTGTATAAACTGATTTACATTCAATGATTTCCGTTTTTACTCCAATTTCAAATCAGTTATGTTCGGCGAAATAGGCCAGCAGTCTCAGGCGAGTGCAAATTCCTAGCGTCTGGTTATTCCAGTCTACATTCGCCGTTTGATTTGGTGCAATGTGTCTAGCCTCGTCCCTCGGGTCTCTTGATACAACTGGGGCTGAAGCGCATTATGGTACACGATTCGTGTACCAATGGTAAAATGTTTATTTTGTCTTAAATATTGGATATCAAAAGCCTATCTTTTTCCGATAAGATTACAACATGAATGTTGATTTAATTTGTCAAATAAATCGTGTTTTCAATGTTGAAGATTTTGGATGATATTGAGTTAGAGACTTAGCTACTTTAATATCTGATTGACTTTAAATTTATACACAGTGTTTAAGGTCATGAGACGAAGAAGTCTATTCAATTTTTGATAATTACTGAAAGAGTTATGGCCCTTGATCACTTCAAAAAATCTCGTGAATGCTCTAGAGGCCAAAGTTGATATCTGATTAACTTTAAATTTATACACAGTGTTTAAGGTCATGAGACAAAGAAGCCTATTAATTTTCAAAGATTTCAGATAATTACTGCCAAATTTATGGCCCTTGATCACTTTGAAAAATCTTGTGGACGCTCTAGAGGCTAAAGTTAAAGGAGCTAAATCGCTATAGTTATCATCCGATTGATTTTACATTTATACACCGTGTTTACGCCTATATATAATCGTTTCGATTGACCTAGATTGATACACAAGTATATTGATTTTCAATGATTTTTGGTAACTTGAACAGCTAAATCCATGGTATTAAATGTTTTGTATATTAAACATTAGCATGGGCCAAACAAATTCTAATGATTTTCTGATAATTAATCAGATGTTAGTGTATTATGAATGTTTCATTACCAACAAAAGTAAAAATATGCAACAACTCATGTTGACTGCCCGGACAATTTAGCTGCTGTGGGCGTATGTTTCGTTGCCTGGCAACCTGTCTTCATCTGATTTTGATGAAACTTGAAATGCATGTTTATAACCCAAAGATCTTGCTCCCTGTCTATATTCGCGCATATCGGATCGTAACTCTCTGAATTATGGCCCCAGATTGTGTGAAAAATCGCGTTTTTAGCTTGTTGTCCCTCAAGAGCTCACAATTATTATCCGATTTGAAAAAAGCGTTAGAATATATCACTGTTACACCCAAATGATGGTTGAGTTCGAATTTTGTGAAAATCGAAACAAATTTGCCCGACAAAATGGCCACTCCTTGCACGCAAATTGTGTACAAGTACATGTTTGTAATACGAAGGTTGTGGACCCTATAGAGTTCACAAGTATTGTCTGATTTTGATGAAACGTAAAATAGATCTCAGGCCCTTTCGATATTCACGCATTTAAGACCTTAGCTTCTTGGATTATGGCCCCTGATTTTACGAAAAATCGTGTTGTTTGGTTGTTTTTTTTTTAGCTTGTTCTCTTGCAAAATGTCGGTGTATCTTGCCTGGCATCTGCTGGTTTTGTAAGTAAACCCTATTTTCTTCAGGTTCAAACTGGATTTGGAAGACTAGGCAGCCATTTTTGGGGATTTGAAACCCATGGTGTACATCCAGATATAGGTAAAGAAATTTACCAATACTATATTTTTTTGGATGCCTTAATAGAATATTTATTTTGTCCTAACCCTGGTTCATCCTTCAGTCTGTCCATTTGTCTCTCATTCCGATTTCTTGTTAGCACAATAGAGTCGACTCTGATCCATAAGTCTTTCTGAAATTAATATGGGTTGTCCATCTCATTTGAAAGGAATAATCCTTATATTTTTCATTGAGGGAGCCACTTTGGATCAAAATATTGATTCTTTGTATCTGTGAATTAATGATAGTGTTAAAACGATTTGAAAGAAGTGCTTATGTAACTTAACCAACACTAACTTAACACCAATAAAATGCCTCTATTAACTTCTGTTCTTCAAAGACGAATTTCTGAACTGATCTGATATATATCTCGTATATTGACTTGGATCTATTTGCTTATTGCTTTAGATCATAAGGTTTGTTATTGAGTCGAGTGGCGTTGTTTCAGTTTCGCTCTTCTACATGAAGTAGGGTTACCTGTTCAACCTCTTGGGCTTTCTCCGGAACCTCTGGTCTCCTACCACTGCTAAAGACCAATACGCACAAGCAATATGTTGAAATAAATTTGAACCATATGTTAGCCTCGAAATGACCTATGTTAATACAAGTGGACATTAAACCCCATTTCTTTCTCTGTGTCTCTCACTCTCTTTGTTTAATTCCTGTCAACAACACAATATTTCTTATCTTCTTGACATGATCATCTTATGTTTTATTACAGTAACTATGGCTAAAGGTATGGGTAATGGTTTTCCAATGGGTGCTGTGGTTACAACTCCAAAAATAGCAGAAGTGATGGGTACAGCTCTTCATTTTAACACATTTGGAGGAAATCCTGTAGCATGTGCTGTCGGTATGGCGGTACTAGAGGTAAATCATATCTGAATTTCTCACAACAATTAAAGGGGAAGACCAACCATTTTCAACAAGGTTTCCATAAATCTTAAATATATATTGTTAAATAATCCCCTCTGTAACACAAACAAAAAAGTTTTTGTAAGCGAGAAATTAATTTTTATTAAAACCGGAAGTGACATAGTTGGTTCAACGCGCTCACTGGGCTCTGTAGTAAGCATACAGATTTGACACAAGTTCATTGCTGTATTGTGTTCACGTGTAGTCCTTTGGCCAAAAATCTGATCAAATCTGTTGTTTATTAGGATATCATAAAAACGAATTTATGTATTTTTAACGTTTAGTACACAAAGCCGTCGCGTAAATTCACTCATACTAAACTGTATGCTGTGCCTCAATTCACGCCACATGGCTAATTGTTTACATCACGTGGTTTGATTGACAGCTTGCAAGTGAGAGATATTTTGTCTGCTTGAATTTTTATGTGCATGCCGAATCTGCTGACGGTGTTTTTATTTATTTCAACGGACTTGTGGCACATATATATTCAAATAAATATATAAAATTCCAAAGTATGTCAACGTCAGACACCAACGTATTGGAATATAAAATATATCTTCTATGGGTGGTCTAAAGTAATGCCGTAAAAACATTCGAGCCCAGCCATTCTCAAGAGGAAATGGAAGAAAAAAGGAAAAGCCGTTCACGTCGACATTATGTGCCAAAATGCACTATACTATATGTCTCACATGCCCATAACTTTGATCTGTTTATGTTGAAAAACGCTGTCAGCAAGCACAAAAACATCGAAGCAGACGAAACACATGTCACTTGCAAGCTGTCAATCAAACCACGTGATATAAACAATTAGCCATGTGGCGTGAATTATACAGGTCACGTTTTTAGCTTGTGAACACTGTAGAGGTGACAATTTTTATCCGATTTAGCTTAAACTTGAAATGTATGATTATAACCCAAAGATCTCGGTTTCTTTCGATATTCACGCATATCGGAACGCAACTTCCTGAATTATGGCCCCTGATTGTACAAAAAATCGCATTTTTGGCTTGTGGACCCTATAGAGGTCATAATTTTCATCCGATTTAAAAAAGCGTATTATTATATCACCGTCAAACCCTAAGGACGGCTCAAAATCGACAGACAAAATGGCCGCCCTTCGTTCTCAAATAGCGTAAAAATATGGTATATCAAGGTTGTGGACACTATAGAGGTCACAATTTGAATCCTATTTTGATGAATCTTGAAATGTAAGTTTATAACCCAAAGATCTTGGTTCCTTTCGATATTCGCGCCAATCCGAACGTAACTTCCTGAGTTATGGCCCCTGATTGTACGAAAACTTGCGATTTTAGCTTGTGGACCCAATAGAGGTCATAAATTTTATCCAATTGAGAAAAACTTATTATTATATCACCGTTAGACCCTAAGGATGACAGACAAAATGGCCGCCCTTCATTCTCAAATACCCGGTAGGTTAAAAATATGGTATATCAAGGTTGTGGACCCTATATAAGTCACAATTTTTATCCGATTTTGATGAAACTTGAAATGTAAGTTTATAACCCAAAGATCTCGGTTCCTTTCGATATTCGCGCATATCGGACAGTAACTTCCTGAATTATGGCCCCTGATTGTACGAAAAATCACTTTCTTTTTAGCTTGTTCTCTGTCCATCTCTCGAAAATGTGGGCGTATCCTGCCTGGCAGCCGCTGGTTATTGATTTCATTACACACCCTTTTCTCTCTTAGAAAATAGAAACTCCTTCATGGATATTAGTATGTAATTGTCTATATTACTACCTAAAGAACATATTTCAGTCCTTATTTTTATTTAGAACTTTAAAAAGGAAAATGATATATTGTTATTGGTGTGATGACAATATTCCAATATCTGGACAACTTTGTTAATAATTTGAAAATTCTATATGTTGTATGTCACTTTACAGATTATTAAAGAGGATAATTTACAAGAACATTGTGCTGAATTAGGATCTTATATGTTAACAGAATTAGAGAATATGAAGTCTGAGTTTAAATGTATTGGAGATGTAAGGGGAAAAGGTTTAATGATAGGTGTTGAAATGGTGGAAGATAGGGTATGTTTTAAATAATTCGGCATAATTTTGCAAAGTTTCATGCAACTTGTGACTAAACGACAATATTCTCAATCCCAAATGTAATACTTGTAAGTGAACATGTTAGGGAAAATATATAGATTATGATGTCACTGGGAGCTTCAAAAATGTGTGTCCTTGGCAATGCCTAAAGCCAGACAAAGCATTTCTCAGTCATTAAGGTTATCATAATATGTTAGTCTCAAAAGGACATATTAAACTCCATTTCTTTACTTTGATAATGTAGAACACATCCTCGTGTAAAACTATATACATGTATTTCTATATGTAATTGTAATATTGTATTGAACAGAGCTCCAGAAAACCCTTACCTGCTGATAAAATGGCCGATATATGGGAAGAAACTAAAGACCAAGGTATACTTTTGGGTAAAGGAGGTTTTTATGGAAATGTAAGTGTAAAAACATTCATTTATTTATTTATATATGACTATTTTAACTGGTGGTGCTAATCACCCAAAACCGTTTAATCTGGCGTAAATAGCGTTAATTTCTACTCTGTGTCCAATTGTTCATAAATCTTGTTGAATTTCGGCGAATAGTGCTCAATTTGTACTTCTATCGAATTTCAATCTCACTGTTTAATTTTGATTACCAAGCGTCTAATTAACTAGTGTTTAGTTTCTGGACACTTGTTGAATTATAAGCTTCCCGTCTAGTTAGCACGACTGTTCAATAATTAGTTGGACCGTTCAATTCCCTGAGCCGTGATTAAAATCAGTCAAGGTGTCCAATTACGCAAGGTGTACAATTTTGTTGTCTAACATCTAATTTCATGTGCGATGCTCAGATATTACGATGTGTTTAGTTGTGGGTCATCGTTCAGTTTTGCCGTCGAATGTCTATTTTGCCGCACGATGTTGAAATATTGTAATAAGTGTAAGTTTTAGTACTGACCTGTTGCGATACGGTAAAATATTATTTTTCAGGATTCATACGACGGCAGGTATCAGTACAAACGTCGCGAAGGTTTGACGAAACACGATTATCTTGCCATTTTTTGTTGAAAATTGCCACGATAAAAAACTTGGTATAGTAGTCGCTATTGTGTGACACAATAGGCCTTGGTGTAATTTTACACGCAAAATTAACAGTATTTATTTGTCATAAACAATCGATGTCAAAATGATATACTGCCACGATGTTATGAATGTTGAATATTTTCGTTAATAATACGGACGCGTTAGTCCACATTGTATAGTGAGAACACGTGTGTTCACATATTCTGCACGATATATATGCGATTATATTTCCAACCAGTCATGTAAAGCTGCATGTCTAGAACATTTTAAAGGACATGTATGCATAAGACTATACATGTATTACACAGTTTAGATATTTATGCTGTGTTCAAATTGTTTTGCATATTTACTGTATTAAGAGTGTATATAGTTAAGAATTACGGCAAATATAGACTTTTAAATTGCAAACTATAAAGGTATTTTGGTTATCGGTCTTACAAATAGAAATAAGACATAAATAGAACTTGCAACGGGATTCAAAAGTGCTTTCAAGTCAGACATAAGCTTGTACTTACCGTAAAAATGAACTGAACACAACACAAGTCTCCGATGTAAGAGAATATTAGTTAATTATAACCGCTATCAAATCCACACAAAAATCCAAGGCACTCGTTTTATTTTAGAAAAGAATAACTGTATTTTGACCGAAGAACCTATTCCACATGAACCCCAAATCAATGATGAACTGTCAACTTGTTATGTAGTAATTCATGTGCAGATTGGTTTGAATAACAGAAATGTCCCGTGTATAAAAGATCAAAGAATAAAATTGCACATAGCCACTTTGTTTATCTAAAAGGGGCTCCGGCGCACTTTAAGGAATTATTTTTTTACCCAATATTAACCATCACCAATTTTTTTAAATCATGGGATAAAGTCAATCAACAAACAATACGGGTCTACTCTATTACAAAAACATTGGTGAACTTATCATATTGTCTAAAATCATAACGCCAATCAACAAACAATACTATTGTTCTTTATTACAAAAACATCGGTGAACTAATCTCTGTCGTGATGGTGAGCCAAGCTAGTTGATTATTAGGTAAATAAAACAATATAAACAACCAAGGAGTAAAACTGATTTATTCCAATCAATTTATATACGAGTCAAGTATTACCTTAACCGTGTACGAGTTTGCATCTGAACGGGTTAACTGACACGCGTTCAACTTGTAAATTCCAAATACAAACTGCTTACTGTTTTCATGCCATAGACACTAATATCCTAATTAAAAAAAAACGTTCCATTTCCAATAATTATCACAAACACAAATATTAATTTTGATTGTTTTATCCATCAACACATAGAGCAAACACATCTAAAATCAGGTCTTATGAATTCGAGCCTCTTCAATAGTTATAAAGCACATCAAAAAGTGTAGAATAAACTGCCTAACAGAAAAATCATGCTTTATACAATGAAATAATTACCACCAGTGTAAGGAATATTTTTGACAGAATATGTCAACTGCAAATATGACTAAACATCAGTTTGTTCAGAAGACGCTCTGCATGCGCGAACTTTCATCAAGTCTGTACCGATTTAAAAAAATGAAACAATCCCACATATCCACATTCCTAAAAACAGGAGTTTTACCGTAACAAAGTAATCACAATTACTCGTAACAAATTTGTATAACATGTAACGGGTGGAGTGGGGATCCGGCCAGATCGCGACGAATAACTTCTTAGTTAGTCATATTGTAAGTGTAACTGTGTTTTCTTTATTTTGACATTCTACTAATTGAGAAACCATTTGAGTAATAAATACAGGTTATTGAATGGACTGAAGCTACATGTAAAATCACAAATACATCAACTTCTCTTTTCAAAATTTGTAATTATTACTACTGACAATTAACAGTAAAAGTCATATTGTTGTTAAAGGGGCGTCGTCAATCTGTTTCTTTTGATGTTACTTGTCAATTCTCATTATGCATCCACCAGACTCTTTGGTGCCAAAATGAAAAAGTCAGCAAGGTATTATCGGACTAATACGTGTCCATGGTATTCAGCAATTGTTTAAATAGAAAATGAACCAAGAATGTTTTACAATCAACAATGCTGATTGTTTGTTAGCCGTTTTCTAACATTTCTTCCAAGTTGAAACTATTTGCTTCACGATTTTTGCACGAAGCTAAAATTATTGTCACAGGTAAATGCCAAAATTTCTAAGGAAGACATTAATTCCAAAGAGCTTTTTCTGCCTAGAAAGTATGGCAGCACGAACTCAGTAAAATTTTATGATTGGTGTCGCAATTCAGTCTGAAGAACAGTTCCGTTCGACTTTTTAATTCCACCTTACTTGTTGTTCTGTAACCCCTAATCTAAAATGCTCTTTCGATCTCATCTAATATAGTACATGCCACAAAAACATCGAATTAACTTATTTATGATATCTCCATTCTTTATTAAAATTAAAACTTAAATATATGATACAATTCCTTTTTAAGTTGGCTTTCTCTGAAATAAAGTTTGGCAAAGTTATGCGTTACATATAAGCATGGAATGTATTTAGTAGGTTTTATTTGATCTTCAGCGAAAAAGTGTTGTCGTTCTATAATAATAAAAAGAAATAAAGAGTTCGAATTATTAGTTTATTTTCACATTTTGTCTTACACAATAGACATATTGTTAGTTTCTGACACAGGTGTATTAATTCAACAAGCCTTCTGTGTTTATTGCCACAGATAATCGCACTACCCTTCAACCCAAAATGCTTTCTATAGATCCCATATTATGTAATATATGATTGGTGCAATACCCATGCTGTTAGTCTTAATTGCGAAGACATTTAATCAAAAGGATTTAATCAGGGTAGGGAGTGGACGTGTACACACGTAAATCAGATGCGTGAGATTTATAATTCATGGATGTGTTGTCAGTGTGGGAAATACTGTTTTAAATGGATATATAAATACACGTTTTATGATTGTGGACGAAACGGTAAGTGCATCTCAAGAAAGCTTTGCTTCGGAACCGTTCCGTCACCATTGAAAATCCAACATCTGTTTCACCGAAGTGATCTTGAAAAATAATCCCCGGATAATGACAGGCATTACAGATACCTCCCGTCGTATGAATCCTGAAAAATAATATTTCACCGTATCGCAACAGGTCAGTACTAAAACTAACACTTATTACAGTATTTCAACATTGTGCAGCAAAATAGACATTTGGCAAAACTGAACGATGACCAACAACTAAACACATCGTAATATCTGAATATCACATGTGAAATTAGATGTTTGACAACAAAATTGAACACCTTGCGTAATTGGACACCTTGACGGCTCGGGAAATTGAAGGCCCAACCAATTATTGAACAGTCGTGCTAATTAGACGTGACGCTTATAATTCAACACGTGTCGAGAAACTAAACTATAGTTAATTAGACGCTTGGTAATCAAAATTAAACAGTGAGATTGAAATTTGATAGAAGTACAAATTGAGCACTATTCGCCGAAATTAAACAATATTTATGAATAATTGGAGAGTAGAAATTAACGCTATTTACGCCAGATTAAACGGTACCAATGTTACAGTATATGTTATCTCTTCTGTCAAATTCAATCTTGGTGTAGATGTTTTGATGAATGTCTTGATTGAAAAATTCACAAATTTTGATTGAATCATATCTTGACTCACGGAAACAAAAAGTCTGTTTAGGATCAATTACCTCCCCAATTACTAAAGTCAAATGCGGAGTTCCACAAGGGTCGATCCTGGGTCCTCTCTTATTCCTTATTTTTATAAACGATCTCCCACTCAATATTGAATTAAGTCAGATAGATTTGTTAGCTGATGACAGTACCCTGCATTGTTCACACAAAGATATTATATCCATCACCAATAATCTCCAAAATGATCTCTATATGTTTGCTAAATGGTGTGAAAACAATGGGATGCTAATCAATCCTTCGAAAACAAAATCAATGCTGATTTCATCAAAACACAAATGAAATCAGAAAAACCTAACTTTATCACTTCATGGGGAGAAAATTGAGATGGTTACTACCGCAAAATTACTTGGAATTCAAATTGACCCAAGACCTTGATTGGGAAACACGCATAGCACATATGTCTAAAAAACTTGCATCAAAAATATGGAACAATCTGTCTTTTGATATAAAGATGTGTAAAAATGTTGAAAATTTTAAGATTAAACTATAAACTCATTTATATTGAGCATAAAAGAAACCATAATGTTCAACTGATGACATACTTATTATTTTTCGTGTATATTTAACTTGCAACTGCATTCTATCTTATCTTATTCTATCTTATATATGACTTTGTAGCTTAGGAGGGACTTATGGAAGATTAGTTTTTTGCAAACTAAATAAGTTGCCTCATTAAATAAAGTTTTTATACACCCACATCTTCATGTGAACGAATTATGCCGTCGCCCCTGTTTGTCCGTCCATCCGTCCACTATTTGTTTGTGGACACTCTACAGGTCACAATTTTTATCCAACTTTATTTAATGAGGCAACTTATTTAGTTAACCCGTTAAATGCGTAGGGCGTTATATAACATCCTGGACAAGTGCCACTCACTGTGTGTAGGGCGTAATATAACGACCTTGGAGGTATTTTCCCCAACCTATTCTTTGAACATACGATCGCAGCATGTGTAGGACGTTATAGTACGCCTGGTCGAGGACATCTAATTGAAGGCAGACAACTCTATTTACGGGTTAAAATATAGGTTTATAGGTTTAAAATATAGGTTCATCTCCCTAAGATCTCGATTCCTGTCGATATTGGCATGTGTCGGACCGTAACTTCATGGATTATGGCCCCTGATTGTGGACCCTATAGAGGTCATAATTTTTATCCGATTTAAAAAAACGTTTGAATATATACTATTGAAAAAAAGTAGAGGATATTTGATTTTGGGGGCATAATACTAAAATATGCAAATGACTACGAAAAAAGTCACTATAGAACCTAACAGAAGAAACATTTCCAGTTACATGTGACGCCCAAACGCACCAATAGCTACCGCATGGAATGCAGGTGATGCTTGGGATCATCATGGGGGTCCAACCCAAGATTTGCACGACCCTGACTTTGAATGTTACAGTCATTGTGGCATTGAATTCCAGGGTGGAAACATCAGTTTAATTGTTTTAGTGACCAGAAAACAAATATTGATATGCGTCGGCTTACCCAAAATAAAAGGTTACGTGCCCTTGGCATGCTACAGATCGGCACAACACAGGCGGTTGTGGCGCGGACGATGAATGTTTCTCAGTCTGTCATAAGCAGGCTATGGTCCAGATACCGTGATACACAATCTGTACAGACAAAATGGCGGCCCCTCGTACTCAAATAGTGTAATAAAAATATGGTATATCAAGGTTGTGGACTCTCTAGAGGTCACAATGTTCTTCTGATTTTGATGAAACTTGAAATGTAAGTTTATAACACAAATATCTTGGTTCCTGTTGATATTCGAGAATATCGGATGTGTAGGACGGTATATTACGCCTGGTCGAGGAAATCTAATTGAAGGGAGACAACTCTATTTACGGGTTAAAATATAGGTTTATAGGTTTAAAATATAGGTTTATCTCCCTAAGATCTCGATTCCTTTCGATATTGGCATGTGTCGGACCGTAACTTCATGGATTATGGCCCCTGATTGTACGAAAAATGATGTTTTTAGTTTGTGGACCCTATAGAGGTCATAATTTTTATCCGATTTAAAAAAACGTTTGAATATATCATCGTTACACCCTAAAGATGGTTGAGTTCAAGTTTCGTAAAAATCGGACCAAAACTGACAGACAAAATGGCGGCCCCTCGTATTCAAATAGTGTAAATAAAAATATGGTATATCAAGGTTGTGGACCCTCTAGAGGTCACAATATTCTTCTGATTTTGATGAAACTTGAAATGTAAGTTTATAACCCAAAGATCTTGGTTCCTGTCGATATTCGAGAATATCGGATGGTAAATTCCAGAATTGACCTTTCCGTCAGAGACCTAGTAGCTCCTCCCACTTTTTTATAATGACGTCACCTTAGACAACATTGATGCGCCTTAGACATAAACAAACATGGCGATGACAGACGTCGTTTCATCCTGTGCCAATCTGTTGGACCTTCCTGCTGATTTGTCTGTTGAATATTTGAAAGAAAAGTGTGACGTGAGTTTAAAATCAAGGCAGCATTGCTTTAGATTGTTTAACGAAGGTTATTTCATTGACGTAAAATTTTTTTGGGCTAGTGACTGATCAACCATCAACGTGTCGTCCAGGTGTTATCGGAGTCGGCGAAAGAATCAGAAACCCCATTCAGTTCACTTAGACGTGTTCCTGTCTTGCTGGGTAAGTAAACTCTTACTTATTTACTGTTACTTAGGCCGATTTTTGCATGGTTTTTAAAATTGTCCGACTATGAAGCATAGGTGTAGGACGTAACACAGGAAAGGAGTATGCACAGATATTACATTTCTGATGACCTTTGTTGTCTAGGCTCAGTCCGGTCTGGATTCGATATAAATTTGGAGAAAACCAAGGTTTGCTATATTTATATTTACTGCTGTAGATTGTAAGGCCGATATACATGAGGACTAGCCTAGCCCTAGTACTTAGTAGTACTAGTAGTAGATCATCCTGAACACAGAGTTGTACATAATAACATATAGTGGTAGGCCTAGTTGGTACTTACTGTTACTATTTCTATTAGTCTAGTTAATAAGTACCAAAAGCAGAGGCAGTAAAAATACACAAATTTTGTTAACTGGGGCAGCCTATGTAGGCCTTAACAGCTGTTCTGAATGGGCCTATGCCGTATAACATGTTCCTGCATGGAATAGCCTCTTAAATTTGTTTTATCACGGTTATTTAATTTGTAGGATGTGTGGCTCTTGCTCCCATGTTGTCGGGCTGGTGATCGCTCTTCAACAGTGGCAACTAATGGGATTTAGTGATGAAAAAGAGGTGAAAAAATTGATCCTGCAGCAGTAACCAACATCCGTTTTATTAATCCAAAGCCAGTTCACAAAACATGTTCAGAATATGCTCCAAGATTGTAGGAAAGAAAAATTCAGAAGTGTTAAAAATGAAATTTCTTTTAATTAAATACATGTTTACAAATAAAAAATGAGTCAAATTACTAGATACAATTAGGAAAAGAGTGTTACAATACAATGTATTTTGTGATTCAAAAAGTTAACAGACTAACTTTTAAATTCCCTTTGATTGTGTGTTTATCGAAGATTGTTGATAAATAAAAACAAAACTCAAATACCAGTAAATTTCATGTTAATTCTAGTATTGAAAATTTCAGATTACTTCAAGTTGAAACAGAAGATATTCAGCATCTACAGTCTTTAAAAGGTTGTCCTATAAGCTACCTGGTATCTTCACCACCTAGTGATACTGATAAATTTATAAATACACATATTGGTGCCTTTAGTGTTGGCAGTGGATTGTCAACTCATGTAGTAAGTAAAGCATATTATTCTTCAGTATCTTTGTTATTTATACAAGGTGGCATAAAATTGGTTAAAAAACAACAAACAAACCAAATTTGATAAATCCTTGACATTAAAGATAAAGGTATTTGACCACTTAAAATTTCAAAAGATTTAACTCTTCTTATTGCTCTCTCTACATGAACTCGATGTTTTGCAATCTTTTTAGTGAATATAGCATCACCTTCACTCATTTGTCTACCTGTGTGAGCAAATGGGGGAATATTTCATTTCAATAAAATACTTGCAATTTCTTGTTCAATCTTGAAGCCCTTGTCTGCAATTAAACCATCAAATATTCAATATCCATCAAATGTTTCAAAGTATCTCTTAATCCACTCACATGAGAGAGAGAGAAATTTGGTTTAACATCCACTCGACACAGACTAGGTCATTTCGGGACTAACATTTGGTTTAATTTTATCTCAATAATTCGCTTGCGCGTAGGGGTCTTTAGCAGTGGAAGGAAACCAGAGGACTGGAGAAAACCCACGAGGTTGGACAGGCAACCCTACTCCTTGTCACGTACAACCGGGGATTGGAAACCACGCCAGTTGACTCAATGACAGGCCTCGTGATACAGCGCGCGCATGCTAACCATTCGGCCTTCCCCCCCACTCTTATTAAACATATCTTTGTCAGATATTGCACTACCATAAAGCATTGAACAAAATATAATTGACCCCCTAGGGTCACACACTACAAGTCCCTTTAAAGTGTTAGTTCCTTTATAATCACTATAGATTTGAGATTGAGCTACTAGAGACTTTGGCTTCTGTATTTTAATTTCTATGGATGGCAAATGTATTTGGAAACTCTTTTTTGAATTCTTTTGGCATATGCTCCAATAAAACATTTCATGATGGCCAAAAACTTACTTCACCAAAACTCAAAAACATATAATTAATCCATGTTGTGTTATAGCAAAACGAAAAGACAAATCTAATAAGTCAAAAAAAATTCTTAATTTACACATGGTTATAAAAATTGATTACGAAGTGATAGATCAGAAAGTTTCTTTAGACATCCTTTACTAACATATTCAAAGAGAGCACCACTACTCGGCAATCTATCTGGAACTAAAAATTTATAAATAGAATTACAAACTTCTGTTGTAAAACCAGTATAATACTGCACAACATTGTCATTCTCAATATTTTGATCTAAAAAATTAATGCCCTTCTGTTTACTTAAATCTTCAATTTCACCATTTAATCTTCTGATTTTTTCTTGTTGTTCCGCTACCATCCTTTCTTTGTCTGTACTATCTGTTATTTCTTTTGCAAGCATAACTGTAATTCTACTGTTTTCTGCAGCTAAAGTCATCATATCTAGAGGGCATGTCCCTGGAAATAGAAAAAATAATTGATTATTTTCTATATTTTCAGGCAAATTTCTTCAAACCAAAGAGTGAAACACCTGTAAATACAAACTGTGGTAATTTACAATTCCCAAGAGATTTGATCATAAATGTTAGTGAAGAAATAGTAAGAACAGCGCCATCTATGCAGTTACAACAGTGTGTTTCTATAGAAGAAAGAACACAAGATCAATCTAATAGTCGTCTATTGTTTGAGGAGAGAAAACACAGATTAACAGCTTCTGAATTTGGATCTATTGTAAAAAGAAGAGTTGTGTCAGACAAATTATTGAATCAATAATAAATCCTAAATTTTTTACTTCAGCACCAACATCATATGGAAAGAACAATCAGAAAAAGGCCATCAAATTTTATACTTAGAAATCTGGAAATCATGCTCATGATTGTGGACTCATTGTAAATCCAAAGTTGCCATTTTTAAGCGGTACACCAGATGGAAAAATCTGTGGTCAGGATGGTACAGTTAGGTTACTTGAAGTAAAATGTCCTTTTAAGGAACTGGACTTAAACATTGAAGACGCTTGTCTGCATAATAACTTTTGTTTAGAAAGTAAAGATGGTGTTATTCAACTTAAAACCAATCATAATTACTTTTACCAAATTCAAGGACAACTGTTAGTTTCTGGTTCGAATTTTGTTGACTTTGTAGTCTACACAAAGAAGGATTTATTTTTACAGAGAATTCAGCCAGATAATTTATGTTGAATATGGTTAACAAATTATTTGTCTTTTATGAAAATCATGTAAAAGCTAAATTGAAGTAGGTCAATTACTAGTATATGGCGACTGCACTGTCAACATAATATTGTATCATTTGTAACCAAAGACTTGTCGCATTATTTGGCACACTAAGGTAAGGGGAGGTAACTTGACCAGTTGACCACCCTTTGTTCTACTAAGACAATTTGATTTTAATATGGATTTGTTCTGCTCTTTTCTTAATCTTCGACAGTTACCCTATAATTAATGGCCAAAGCACACACGCTCGGATTATTCAAATGTAGTATGCACTTCATTCAACACATAAAACCAAATCTGAGTCCTACATTATGTTTCATGGAGTTTGAAAGGAAAATTAAGTGCGATCAAGCCGCCCATGTGGTCAAGCCACCTCACTTTACCTGTATATAATTAAACTTATGTACTTACATGAACCGACTTTTTGAATGGCAGACTCATGATGATCTTCCTGAATTTCATTAGTAATTGTAGTAGCATTAGATTGTACTGGTTTCCTTTTTTCACAACAGCAATGTTGCTGTAAAAGAAAAAATTTGCCTTATTTCATTCAGAATCTATAAATAAATAATGTGCTGAGTCTTTAAATTTAAAGGGAATTTTGGCATATTTTTAAAAATAATATTGACAAGATGATTGTCTATTGAATAGGTTTATCTCCCTAAGACCTCCGTTCCTTTCGTTATTGGCATGTATCGGACCGTAACTTCATGGATTATGGCCCCTGATTGTATGAAAAATCACATTTTTAGCTTGTTGAAACTTGAAATGTAAGTTTATAACTCAAAGATCTCGATATTCGCGCATATTGGACCGTGATAGGATATGCCCACATTTTGCAAGAGATGGATAGAGAACAAGCTAAAAACAAACAGGATTTTTTGTACAATCAGGGGCTATAATTCAGAAAGTTATGGTCTGAAATGCGCAAATATCAAAAGGGACTGAGATCTTGGGGATATAAAGATATGTTTTAAGTTTCATCAGAATCGGATAAAAATTGTGACCTCTAGCTTGTGGACCCTCTAGAGGTCACAATTTTCTTCTGATTTTAATGAAACTTGAAATATAAGTTTATAACCCAAAGATCTAGGTTGCTTTCGATATTCGCACAGATCGGATCGTAACTTCCTGAATTATGGCCCCTGATTGTACGCAAAAATGCGTTATTTGGCTTGTGGACCCTATAGAGGTCATAATTTTTATCCGATTTAAAAAACTGTATTATAATATCACCGTTAAACCCTAAGGACGGTTGAGTTCGAATTTCGTGAAAATCGGCCCAAAACTGACAGACAAAATGGCCGCCGTTCGTTCTCAAATAGCGTAAAAATATGGTATATCAAGGTTGTGGACCATATAGAGGTCACAATTTTTATCCGATTTCGTTGAAACTTGAAAAATAAGTTTATAACACAAAGATCTCGGTTCCTTTCGATATTCGCGCATATCGGACCGTAACTTCATGAATTATGGCCCCTGATTGTACGCTAAAATGTGTTTTTTGGCTTGTGGATCCTATAGAGGTTTATGATTTTTATCCGATTTAAAAAATCGGGTTAATATAAAACCGTTACACCCTAAGGACGGTTGAGTTCAAATTTCGAACTCAGTCGTCCTTAGGGTGTAACGGCGATATCATAGTACGTTTTTTTAAATCGGATAAAAATTATGACCTCTATAGGGTCCACCCTAAGGATGGTTGAGTTTGAATTTCATAAAAATAGAACCAAAACTTACAGACAAAATGGCCGCCCCTCTATCTATCGACACAAAAGATCAAAATAGCAATAAAAAATTTTAAAACACCTGTATTTGAACATTTTGTAAGAGTTCCGTATTCTTAAATCTGTCCTATTTCTGAAAATTCTCAGCGAAATTAGTTATTTTTCTTCGCTTGCAGCGGGAGGACCGGTCATTCCTCTTGCATAATAATTGGCATCGTTGTAAAGCCGAGAATCTCTAGTTTACAAATATGATCAAAATATTGTCGATGAATTGATTTTGAATGGATACAATCGAGTTTTAAAACCCCTAAAAAATATAGATAAACTCCGCCTGTGGCCATGCTGTCTACACAACTCGTTTGCTGATTGGCCCAGACACCGCGTGCCTAGGCATTATCGATAAATATTTGGTTTTGGCGATAATGTTTTTGGGTACCTACATGCGATTCACTCTGATAAGTGGCAGAAAAGAAATTAATTCTGATCGTATATAGATTGCTGTTGAGTGTTAATCGAAACCACGTGGCTGATTATGTAAATTAATTGACAAGTGGGTGTGTGTCATTCAGTAATTCTATTAATAATCAACTGTCACGGGTCAATGATAAAGCCGTCGACAACTCATTATTTACTCCGAATAATGAATCCAAGTGGTGATTATTTGATATAATCTATTGGCCTTAAATGGAAATAAACAAAATGGCCAATATTTTTTTTTTTCAAAGAGAATTTTATTGATAGCTGAATTCTGTTTACTGTCGCTTGTTCATACAAAGTAAGGAATGCAACTTGGATATTATTTTTAAAAATTCTCTTATCACCATGGGTCAAAAAAATGAGAACGACCAACGAGCCGAAATGCGACGATTCTCGAGTCTGAAATTGAGTGTCCTCTGAATAATGTTGATATTTACATCAAAGCCAAAATGCATTAGGTGAACGTAAGCATTTCTTGACTATGAAATTGACATTTCTATAGGGACTCATGTTTTGATAACGTCGCGGTACCTGAAAATAACAATAGACCTATCATACACGCAAAATCTTATTTTAATTCACGTGTTAAATGAACACCTTTACAGCTGTGGCGGCTTCTTTGATGATTATCCAATCAACAATCTTAATCTCCTGATCACTAGCTGGCACTAAGGTGCTAATTAATTGATATATTCAACGACAAAACAGCAAATAAATGGCCTGGTTGCTATGGGATTTTGTTTTGGAACATACCAAATTTTTGAATTGCTTTTTCTCAAAACTTACTTTTGTGAGTTGGGTAGCTTCTAATGGACAGCTCAGTCAATTTTTGCCCAATTCAAACAAACTATACATCAAATTGAAGGTAATGAGTTGGAGAATGTGAAAATAACAATAACTCAATTTTCAAAATTTCCTCATTGTGACTCATTATGCTATGGGGGGTCACAATTTTTGCCCAATTCAAACAAACTATACATCAAATTGAAGGTAATGAGTTGGAGAATGTGAAAATAACAATAACTCAATTTTCAAACTTTCCTCATTGTTACTCAGTAAGCTATGGGGGATCACAATTTTCTTCTGATTTTGATGAAACTTGAAATGTAAGTTTATAACCCAAAGATCTCAGTTGCTTTCGATATTCACACATATCGGATTGTAACTTCCTGCATTATGGCCCCTGATTGTACGAAAAATCACATATTTAGCTTGAGGTTCCTCTCTAGAGGTCACAATTTTTATCCGATTTAAGAACACGTTTGAATATATCACCTTTACACCCTCAGGATGGTTGAGTTCAAATTTTGTGAAAATCAGACTAAAACTGCCAGACACAACGGCCGACCATCGTACACAAATAGTGTATAACATCTGGTATATCAAAGTTGTGGACTCTCTAGAGGTCACAATTTTGATCTGATTTTGATGAAACTTGAAATACATGTTTATAACCCAAAGATATTGGTTCCTCTCGATATTCGCGCATATCGGATCATAACTTCCTGAATTATGGCGCCATCGGGGTTGGATGCCCGAATGGTTAGCACGTGCGCGCTGTATCATAAAGCTTGTCATTGAGTCAACTGGCGTGGTTTCAAATCCCTGGTTGTACGTGACAAGGAGTAGGGTCGCCTGTCCAACCTCGTGGGTTTCCTCCCACTGCTAAAGACCCCTACGCACAAGCGAATTATTGAATTAAAATTAAACCATATGTTAGTCCCGAAATGACCTAGTTTGTGTTGAGTGGACGTTAAACCCCATTTCCTCTACTCTCTTCTCTAGAGGTCACAATTATTATTCCATTTAAAAAAATGTTCGAATATATCACCTTTACCCCGTAATTTTGATTGAGTTCGGATTTTAAAAACCGTTTAAATATATCACCATAATGAATGTTGAATTCGAATTTCGGGAAAATCGAAATGAAACTGCCCGATAAAATGGCCGCTTTTTTTGTAAAAGTATGCAATACAAAGGTTGTGGACCCTCTAGAGGTCACAATTGTTATCCGATTGTTGTTTTTAGCTTGTTTTCTATCCACCTTGCAAAATTTGGGCTTATCCTGCCTGGCAGCCGCTGGTTTAAATGGATAAAAATTATGACCTATAGGATCCACAAGCTAAAACGCGATTTTTCATACAATAAGGGGCCATAATTCAGGAAGTTACGGTCCGATATGCGCGAATATCAAAAGGAACCAAGATCTTCTGGTTATAAACTTACATTTCAAGTTTCAACAAAATCGGATCAAAATTGTGACCTTTAAACGGTCAACAGGCTAAAATCGTGATTTTTCATACAATTAGGGGCCATAATCCATGAAGTTACAGTCCGATACATGCCAATATCGAAAGGAACCGAGATCTTAGCGAGATAATCTTATATTTCAAGTTTCGTTGAAATCGGAAAAAAATTGTGACCTGTAGAGTGTCCACAAACAATTGTGGACGGACGGACAGGGGCGACGACAATATACAATGTACGTCCACATGAAAACTTTCATCCAATTTTGATGAAACTTGGAATGCATGTTTATGTCACAAGGATCTTAGTTCCTTTCGATATTCCCGCATATCGGATTGTACGAAAAATAGCGTTTTTAGCTTGTGGTTCCTCTAGAGGTCACAATTTTTATCCGATTTAAAATAAAAAACGTTGTAGTATATCACCGTTACACCCTAATGATGGTTGAGTTCAAGTTTCGTGAAAATAGGACAAAAAGTGACAGACATGCAAATAGTGTAAAAAATATGGTATATCAAGGTTGTTGACCCTCTAGATGCCACAGTTTTTATTCGATTTGGATGAAACTTCAAATACATGTTTTTATCATAAAGATCTTGGTGCGTTTTGATAATCACACGTATCCGAACGTAACTTTCTGGATTATGGCCCCTCATTGGTCGAAAAATCGTACTTTTAGCTTGTGGATTGTCTAGAGGTCACAATTTTGTTTCCGATTTTAAAAAAACATTTAGATATATCACCATTCCAACATAATAAAGGTTGAATTCGAAACTGCCTGACAAAATGGCCGCTCTTTGTACGCAAATTGTATATAAGTATGTAATACAAAGGTTATGGACCCTCAAGGGGTCACAATTTTTATCTGATTTTGATGAAACTTAAAACTTATCTTTATATTCCAAAAATCTCAGTCCCTGTTGATATTTGCGCATTTCAGACCATAACTTTCTGGATTATGGCCCCTGATTGTACAAAAAATCGTTTTTGTTTTTAGCTTGTTCTCTATCCATCTCTTGCAAAATGTGGGCGTATCCTGCCTGGCAGCCACTGGTTTTATCACATAAACTATTCAGCCTACCCAGAGCAATCGACACAGGCACGCTCACTGTCGTATTATAGGACTGGAGTAGGCCCTGATTACCTGCTGGGGTCTGGATAGCCTGATGGTGACGGAAGCCTCAATTGGAATGAGGAAGGGCCGAGGCCCCACGGCGTGAAGGCCCGGGCAGGTGGCTTTATAGTTTTTAATTCACCAATTTTTCCAAACAAAGTGGACTAACAAAATCTGATTTTAATCATACCCACGCCACAAGGTACAACATTCAGAAAGTGGCCTGTTTTCTTCTACTTTACAAGTAACAGTGTATTTTTTATACGCCCACATTTTCATGTGGACGTATATTGTCGTCGCCCCTGTCCGTCCGTCCGTCCACAATTGTTTGTGAACAGTCTACAGGTCACAATTTTTTTATCCGATTCCAATGAAACTTGAAATATAGGTTTATCACCCTAAGATCTCGGTTCCTTTCGATATTGGCATCTATCGGACCGTAACTTCATGGATTATGGCCCCTTATTGTACGAAAAATCACGTTTTTGGCTTGTGAACACTTTAGAGGTCACAATTTTTATCTGATTTTGTTGAAACTTGAAATTTAAGTTTATAACCCAAAGATCTCGGTTCCTTTCGATATTCGCGCATATCGGACCGTAACTTCCTGAATTATGGCCCCTGATTGTACGTAAAAACGCGTTTTTTTGGCTTGTGGACCCTATAGAGGTCATAATTTTTATCCGATTTAAAAAAACGTATTATTATATCACCGTTAAACCCTAAGGACGGCTGAGTTCGAATTTCGTGAAAATCGGCCCAAAACTGACAGACAAAATGGCCGCCGTTCGTTCTCAAATAGAGTAAAAATATGGTATATCAAGGTTGTAGACCCTATAGAGGTCACAATTTTTATCCGATTTTGTTGAAACTTGAAATGTAAGTTTATAACACAAAGATCTTGATTCCTGTCGATAATCACACATATCGGACCGTAACTTCATGAATTATGGCCCCTGATTGTACGCAAAAAGTGCGTTTTTTGGCTTGTGGACCCTATAGAGGTCATTATTTTTATCCGATTTAAAAAAACGTGTTAATATATCACCGTTACACCCTAAGGACGACTGAGTTCTAATTTCGTGAAAATTGGCCCAAAACTGACAGGCAAAATGGCCGCTGTTCGTTCTCAAATAGCGTAAAAATATGGTATATCAAGGTTGTGAACCCTATAGAGGTCACAATTTTTATCCGATTTTGTTAAAACTTGAAATGTAAATTTATAACACAAAGATCTTGGTTCCTTTCGATATTCGCGCATATCGGACTGTAACTTCATGAATTATGGCCCCTGATTGTACGCAAAAAGTGCGTTTTTTGGCTTGTGGACCCTATAGAGGTCATTATTTTTATCCGATTTAAAAAAACGTGTTAATATATCACCGTTACACCCTAAGGACGACTGAGTTCTAATTTCGTGAAAATTGGCCCAAAACTGACAGGCAAAATGGCCGCTGTTCGTTCTCAAATAGCGTAAAAATATGGTATATCAAGGTTGTGAACCCTATAGAGGTCACAATTTTTATCCGATTTTGTTAAAACTTGAAATGTAAATTTATAACACAAAGATCTTGGTTCCTTTCGATATTCGCGCATATCGGACTGTAACTTCCTGAATTATGGCCCCTGATTGTACGCAAAAAGTGCGTTTTTTGGCTTGTGGACCCTATAGAGGTCATTATTTTTATCCGATTTAAAAAAACGTGTTAATATATCACCGTTACACCCTAAGGACGACTGAGTTCTAATTTCGTGAAAATTGGCCCAAAACTGACAGGCAAAATGGCCGCTGTTCGTTCTCAAATAGCGTAAAAATATGGTATATCAAGGTTGTGAACCCTATAGAGGTCACAATTTTTATCCGATTTTGTTAAAACTTGAAATGTAAATTTATAACACAAAGATCTTGGTTCCTTTCGATATTCGCGCATATCGGACTGTAACTTCCTGAATTATGGCCCCTGATTGTACGAAAAATCACGTTTTTAGCTTGTGGACCCTATAGAGGTCATAATTATTATCCGATTTAAAAAATTATATTATTATATCACCGTTACACCCTAAGGACGACTGAGGTCGAATTTCGAGAAAATCGGTCAAAAACTGACAGATAAAATGGCCGCCCTTCGTTCTCAAATAGCGTAAAAATATGGCATATCAGAGGTTACAATTTTTATCCGATTTTGTTGAAACTTGAAATTTAAGTTTATAACCCAAAGATCTTGGTTCCTTTCGATATTCGCGCATATCGGACCGTAACTTTCTGAATTATGGCCCCTGATTGTACGAAGAATCGCGTTTTTAGCTTGTGGACCCTATAGAGGTCATAATTTTTATCCGATTTAAAAAAACGTATTATTATATCACCGTTACACCCTAAGGACGACTGAGTTCAAATTTCGTGAAAATCGGCCCAAAACTGACAGACAAAATGGCTGCCCCTCGTTCTCAAATTGCGTAAAAATATGGTATATCAAGGTTGTGTACCCTATAGAGGTCACAATTTTTATCCGATTTTGTTGAAACTTGAAATGTAAGTTTATAACTCAAAGATCTTGGTTCCTTTTGAAATTTGCGCATATCGAATTGTAATTTCCTGAATTATGGCCCTTGATTGTAGGAAAAATCACTTTCGTTTTAGCTTGTTTTCTATCCATCTCTCGAAAATGTGGGCGTATCCTGCCTGGCAGCCGCTGGTTTTATTAATTTATACCAACAAATATTTTTAAAGACATTACTCAGCATACCTCTAGACTCCGGGACAACTGTCCCAGCTTGGTTTAGGTAGATAACTTCACATTCAGATAAATTGGGTAATACCTGTAGGCTACACCTTTAAAATATTATGCATGTGTTCTAACAAAGACATTGTGAGGTATCTTTTATCATAACATCGTGAGCGTGAGGTATCATTTATATGGTTATTCCATGATTATGTGATTATGGAAAAGTGTTGGAAACTTTGGGAGTTTGTTTGTCAAATGTAATAAGTGTTAAATTTACCAAATAATTATTGTATATTTGTTTATTATTCTTTTGGAAATTTAAATTAGCAATATTGTTATCAATCCATATAATGCAAAAAAAAACCAACAGTATATATATTATGGCCATTTACAACTACATATGTAACTGTACCTGAACACCTTTCACATTTTCTCAAAACCCCACTTCTTAATCTTATTGGCTACATCTAAAGACATTTTCAAAAGATTGAAATTGTTGCAAAGGAAACTGGAGGAATGGTATAATGTAGGTAAATGGTTGTCGGTAATCGTTAAAAACTGTTTATTTGCTGGATTTTGACCATATCTTTGTTGTGTGTAGGACTGTTTATTGGCTATTATATACTTTTATTTTCTATTACAGACATTCCGTATTAAACCACCGATGTGTCTCAAGAAAGATGACGTAGATTTCTCACTGGAAGTTCTTCGTAGTTCTATTAAGAAAGTGATGGGATAAAGATGCTGCATGAATTTTATCTTATCATTGCCTACTGAACATTTTTACTCTTTAACTCTTTCATTATGTTAATGGATGTGTATGTTGACTTTCTCGCCTTATTATGAATGTGTTGTGAAAGTACAAAGTTAAAATTAGTCACAGAATGGGTTTAGCAATATTGGCATATAGAAATATAAATTGTCATATTTGATGACTAAAAATGGCAGTCTATTCAAACAATTGGAGTCTTAATGACACTAAAGTTACTGATTTGTGCACATGCAAAAATTCTGTTTTGAGCATTGTCAGTGATTTCCACACATATAAATGTACTGATAACACAGCTTTATTCTGACATAATTATTTTCAACACATACATACTGGTATATGTGATCTCCTGTCAAATATCAGTATTTAAATATAATTTTTGTATTTATCATCAACTGGCAGGGGCGGATCCAGGAGAATTTTTGCAGGGGGGGGGGGGGCATGTTCCTAAGACAATGTATCCCCTCCCCCCTCCTGCATGGTCTCTATCGTCATTTTGGCGTATATATATGCACATTGAGCTTTTTAAACAGAGAAATTCAACACCTCGTTTGACGTCAATTTTTATTATGAATTAATACAATGACATTGGAATTCAATTTCATGGATGCAAAGCATTAATTGTGATATCACATAATGTCTATATCATTATCTCGTGCTTTGAGTGCCCATCCTGTCCCAAATCTTACGATAAAGGATAAAGCACACGGCCGAGAAACCTTTCTCATAAAAAGTGTGGATTTCAAAAATAATTTATGTAGCTGAGCAGGGGGGGGGGGGGGTCGACCCCCCAAACATCTCCTCTGGATCCGCCCCTGAGTGACTCATGGGGTCAATTTAGTAACAGTTCCTCTACTATCAAGTCTTGTAGAAAATACATTGCAATGAACTTTTGTAATTACATTACTTAGCAATAAATGAATAGAAAATATGACTTTGATCATGTCGTATCAAGTTTTAAACAGTACACAGTATATATTTCAATATATTGTATATTGAAACTTGATGGTGGTTATAACTGAATATAGAAATTGCCTCAAAGTCTCTTTTGTTCACCTTGATATAGTGATTAACAGATTTAGTTTGTTCAGATATGACCAAATTATGTAATATCTTACTTATATTAAACTGGGTGTGAAAGTACATGTATTGTTATTGTCCTGTTTAATTTGATATTACTATTGGTTGTATACTAGTTTTACTACTTGTTTACAATCTGTCCATCATTCACTCTGGCTGTATTGCCATTGGGTTACCTCACGTAAGATAAAGTTTTAAATAAATTAGAAAGATTCAAATATTTTGACCCTAGTTTTTTTTATATCAAATTATATTGTTCATATTACAATCTACAAATTAACAAGGTATTCTCTGTATTATTTTAAATACAAGGTGAAGGTCATTTTCCTATATGCAGTGACGGATCATGGCAAGGAAAACGGGCAAATGCTAAAAAAAATAATGACCCACTTCCCAAATATCGTGAAACAAAGTGGTCTTTTTTCAATGAGTTTTGAAATTATTAGGTAGTGGGGACCCCAAGGGGCATTGGTGAGAAAAAAATGATATCAACGATTCCACATTGGATGGGTTAGCAGCAGGAAGTTGATATCAGAAATATTTCTATAACCTGAAATAGTATTTCTGGTTGACAGGTAGCGGTCTTGTTAATTGTCCAATATTTTACGTCAGGCCCCTTGTTTCTCACTCAACCAGCTTGCTTGACAACAAGAATTGCAAACCGGTGTCATCGGGCCCAGACTGACCAGTGTCCCACTGGCCCCCTCTCTGCTATAGTTTTTTCTGTGTGAAATAATTTTGGTGTCAGTTGGTGCCTGTGAATGGTAAAAAAAAATTGGGGGCCCTTTATAGACCAATTTGACGTATAATTTTATAGGGGCTCTTTACAGACCATGAGACCTGAAGAAACAAATTCTGCACTATTCGGAAATATGATCTGCAACAACTTCATTCAGATTACTAATCTAGATCGACACTAACTGCTTAGAACTAAGTATATGAATTACCACCTGGGATATACTCCAGATCACCATATCTGGTTGAAATTGTAAAAAATTTCTTGGGGCAGGACCCCTTCAACCTCATGATCTGTCACTGCCTCTTTGACCTTTGACACTGCTATTTTGAGGAGACTATATTCTTGGTAGTCTAAGCAGAGAGAACATAGACTGGAATAAAACTTATTTCATAAAAGACTTAACTACCAGTATGTTAACTTGCATAATTAGTCCATTATATTGTTGCATACATATGATGTTTTTAAATGTTCTGTTTATTTAAATAATAAAGTTCCAACCATACTATATGAATCACAGATATTACAGTTGTTACCATATTTGGTTAAATATGTACCAGTCTTGAAGAGAAACGATTTCAGAATATGGCAAATAGAAAATAATGACAGTAACTTGAGTTTTCAATGTAGAAAGTTTATGATTGAGTAATCCTGAGAACCCTATCTTTATATTTAATTATAGCTTATTTGTTTGTAATATAACTAATGTTGTCAGGAAAAATAATATCAGACAATCTTGTACACAGAATCATTCTCATGGGTGCTTTCCAATAAATTACCAAAAAATATAGCTCTGTATATCAAAATGCACAATTCAAACAATGTCAAATATTAAAGACCCAATATCCAAGCTAAATTAGCTTATTGGAGGTCTTTTTTTCTCGCTTCCAAACTCAACTCTCTAGAACATCAGATGGCAGAGATATTGAGTGAATTAGATAATTATCTTAGCAATGGTACTTGACAATGAAGGCTATTTAGGCTATTTCTTGTCAAAACTTCAAACATCCATAACTTTGCTCAGAATTAAGTTATTTGACTGAAGATTTCAATATATGTATTCATTTTTTATTATCAATGTTTATTATAAGGTTCATGGAAAGGCCAACTCTTTATCTAAATGCATCATAAATTTGCACAACATAAACAATAAAATGAATGAACATCTGATTTTAAGGAGATTGATTGATTTAGATAGAATAGCATGTTAATATTGTAGATGAGGTTGTTTAGATGACTGTACACAGGTTTTATGTAATGAAATAGCCCGTTCAGACGCTGACGTTGAACTGGTTTAAAAACCCAGGGGATCGTTAAACCAGTTTAACTGAAGCGTTTGAACGCAAATGTGGGGCAAATAAACCAGTTTAAAAATCCCAGCTCGCGACCTGTCTTCGAACAGGTCCAGCTTGCTTCGAGCATGCGCAGTACGCAGTAAGTTACATTCCCGTGAAAATATCGGGGTCCGACAGTGCCCAGGGGCAGATCTAGGAATTTTGAAAAGGGGGGGCGCCGCAAAATGAGGGCACTGACCGCGGAGATGGGCACACCGCTGTTTGGTGGGGGGGGGGGGGGGTTGGGGGTCCCCCCAAGAAAATTATCTGTCATTTCCTTGCATCTGTAGCCATTCCAAGAGCTATTTGGCTGATATTTTCGTCTAAGTAAACATTCGTAAATCGTTGAAAAAGAGCCTTAAAATCGAGCAAAAAAGCCAGTTGAAGATGCGACTCGAAAATTGTCAAGGCCAGCGAGGCATTATGATGGGAAAAAAGAAGAATCTATTCCCTAGCCACTTCACTATTTAAGCCTTGTAACTTGTGTACTGTGCACACATGGAACAATGCTACATCAAGTTGCACTCATGTGCGTCGGTGATGGGCATGAGTGTATACGCCACGGATTCCACAAGATGCTATCATTGATGTCTGTCTGTAGTCACTCCTATAGGATTAGGGCAACGTCAGCTAAACAACAAGAATTTGTTTGAAAGTGGAAGCATTAATTAGACCAGACTGGTGTGTTTGAGTCGATGGTTTGAGTCATTTGGGATCCCTGCAACGGGTTGAGAACGGACATATTTGGGTCTGAGAAAAGGCACTTTCAGCAGTAAAAAAGGGCACTGTCGAAAATTGGGGGGGGGGGCCTCGCGCCCCCCTTGGATCCGCCTCTGGTGCCAATGTTATCGAAAGCGTGCGAGAACCGAATAAATAAAGGTTAACTCTAACCTCCGACCGAAGAGGGCAGAATAGTTAAACTGGTTTGGCTTATATACATGTAGTACGTGTGAATGCAACACGACCCCTGACCCCAGCGATTATGAACTGGTTTAAAAATAAGCGTCTGAACGGGCTATAAGTATGATGTGAAATTAAAGTCACTGAAGTCCGTCGTACACGAGCAAAGAAAATTTGACAAATTTCTTTGACGGTCTCATCAAATTTTCTTTGACCGTACGAAGCGGAGGTCTGTTTATTTGAGACAAGATAAGGCATTTTTTCCGATTCTCATTTATTCATATGAATAGGTAATTATTACCCAATTATATATTACATGCCTAATACAGGGTTGGATTACTTGCATGCAAAACAAAAACATCATTAATTAACCACATCAACAATTGGCATCAAACACTACAGCTGTAGATTTCATTCCAATAAACTAATGTAACAAAATAGGCAGCAGTATTTTCATTTGCCATATGAGATCTGGCATGCATAGCTTTTCGTCAAATAAATGTGTCAAAAATTTGGAACTTATATGCTCGTGTACGATAGGCCGTCAAATAAATTGCTGGCTTCGTACGCCGAGATCAAGCTGGCATACAATAAGCTACCATACAATAAGACCAGTCACCATACAATAAGGGACAATCAAATCAGCATACAATAAGGAATTCGCTGGATGACCAAGACTTCAGTGAAATCACGTGCTCCGTATGGGCTAATCCGAGCCTTCGATGAATAAAATAAATTGAAAGTAGTCTATTTTTAGTAATTAGGTTATTGTCTGATGGCGACAAATTTTTTGCTCTAAATAAAAAAGGGTTTTATCTCTTCTTAAGTGTGTTATTATGAATGTGCCGGAAAATAACAAGTATATTCAAAGAGCCATTGAAACTTACTTTCCGGTGATGTATGACACGATAACTGGAATTCCGTATTAAGACCTTTATTTTGACATTAAACAATCGCCCCACCCCACCACTCGTATTCAGTTAGTGCAGGCCAATTAACTTTGATCAATTAAAAAAAAAAAAGAAGAAGTAAGCATGCATTGTGCCTAAAGAAAAAATTAGGTATGAACAAAAGAGAGAATTAACTTTAATTTTCAGTATAGATATAATGATTTTGGATTAAGTCCCGCATTTTTACTTCAAATACTCCCTCCCCTCACCTCCAATTTTAATCTTTTTTCAAGGTATGTACAAAATAAGCGTAAAATTATTTACATATTTGAAAAGATCAAGGAACGTACTTTTAAGTGATGCATACCACGATTGCTGTAATTTCGCATTAATACCCGTATTTTTATTTTAAATACCCCTACCCTCGTCATTTAATAGAGTTTGCACCACCCAATTTTGATCGTTTTTTAAGATAAGTAAATATGAATGTGCCAGAAATTTATTTACATATTTAAAGAGAGCAACGAACAAGCTTTTCAGTGATATATAACACCATGACTGGAATTTCGTATTAAGACCCGTATTTTTACATTGACCCCCCCCCCCCTCCATAATCATAGCAATAGAGTTTAGTACCACCCAAATTTGATCGTTTTTAAGGTAAGTAAATATGAATGTGCCAGAAAATTATTTACATATTTGAAGGGAGCAATAAACCGGCTTTTCAGTGATATATAACACCATATCTGGAATTTCGTACTAAGAACCGTATTTTGGCATTGAATACCCACCCCACCCCTTCATAATCATAATAAAAGAGTTTAGTACCACCCAACTTTGATCGTTTTTTAAGGTAAGTAAATATGAATGTGCCAGAAAATTATTTATATATTTACAGAGAGCAATAAACAAGCTTTTCAGTGATATGGAACATCAAGCTTTTCTGTGATATATAACATTATGGCTGGAATTTCGTACTAAGAACCGTATTTTGGCATTGAACACCCACCCCACCCCCTTCATAATCATAGTAATAGAGTTTAGTACCACCCAAATTTGATCATTTTTTAAGGTAAGTAAATATGAATGTGCCAGAAAATTATTTATATATTTAAAGAGAGCAATAAACAAGCTTTTCAGTGATATGTAACATTATGGCTGGAATTTCGTACTAAGAACCGTATTTTGGCATTGAATACCCCCCCCCCCCCCTTTCATAATCATAGTAATAGAGTTTAGTACCACCCAACTTTGATCGTTTTTTAAGGTAAGTAAATTTGAATGTGCCAGAAAATTATTTATATATTTTAAGAGATCAATTAACAAGCTTTTCTGTGATATATAACATCATGGCTGGAATTTCGTACTAAGAACCGTATTTTGGCATTGAATACCCACCTTCCCCCCTTCAAAATCATAGTAATAGAGTTTAGTACCACCCAAATTTGATCGTTTTTTAAGGTAAGTCAATATGAATGTGGCAGAAAATTATTTATATATTTACAGAGAGCAATAAACAAGCTTTTCAGTGATATGGAACATCATTGCTGGAATTTCGTAATAAGAACCGTATTTTGGCATTGGATACCCCCCTTCCCCCTTCATAATCATAGTAATAGAGTTTAGTACCACCTAATTTTGATCGTTTTTTAAGGTAAGTAAATATGAATGTGCCAGAAAATTATTTATATATTTGAAGAGAGCAATAAACAAGCTTTTCAGTGATATATAACATCATGGCTGGAATTTCGTATTAAGAACAGTATTTTGGCATTGAATACCCCCCCCCCCTCCCCTTTTATAATCATAGTAATAGAGTTTAGTACCACCCAACTTTGATCGTTTTTTAAGGTAAGTAAATATGAATGTGCCAGAAAATTATTTATATATTTTAAGAGAGCAATAAACAAGCTTTTCAGTGATATATAACACCATGGCTGGAATTTCGTACTAAGAACCTTATTTTAGCATTGAATACCCCCCCCCCCCCCCATTCATAATCATAGTAAAAGAGTTTAGTATCACCCAACTTTGATCCTTTTGTAAGATAAGTAAATATGAATGTGCCAGAAAATTATTTATATATTTGAAGAGAGCAATAAACAAGCTTTTCAGTGATATATAACACCATGGCTGGAATTTCGTACTAAGAACCTTATTTTAGCATTGAATACCCCCCCCCCCTTCATAATCATAGTAATAGAGTTTAGTATCACCCAACTTTGATCCTTTTGTAAGATAAGTAAATATGAATGTGCCAGAAAATTATTTATATATTTGAAGAGAGCAATAAACAAGCTTTTCAGTGATATGTAACATCATTGCTGGAATTTCGTACTAAGAACCGTATTTTGGCATTGAATACCCCCCCCCCCCCTTCATATAAATTACCTATCTTAAAAAACGATCAAAGTTGGGTGGTACAAACCCTATTAAATAACGAATTTCGTACTAAAACCTTATTTTAGCATTGAATACCCCCCCCCCCCCATTCATAATCATAGTAATAGAGTTTAGTATCACCCAACTTTGATCCTTTTGTAAGATAAGTAAATATGAATGTGCCAGAAAATTATTTATATATTTGAAGAGAGCAATAAACAAGCTTTTCAGTGATATGTAACATCATTGCTGGAATTTCGTACTAAGAACCGTATTTTGGCATTGAATACCCCCCCCCCCCTTCATATAAATTACCTATCTTAAAAAACGATCAAAGTTGGGTGGTACAAACCCTATTAAATAACGAGGGTAGGGGTATTTAAAGTAAAAATACGGGTCTTAATACGAAATTACAGCAATCCTGGTACGCATCATTTAAAAGTATGTCCCTTTTTCCTTGGCCTTTTCAAATCTGTAAATAATTTTCTGGAACACTTATATATACATACCTGAAAAAAGATTAAAGTTGAAGGGAACCGGAGGGCGGGGGGATATTTGAAGTAAGAATGCGGGACTTAATCCAAAATAATTATATCTATACTGAGAATTAAAGTCAATCCTTTCTTTAGTTTATACCTTATTTGTTTTAGGCACAATGTATGTGTACTTATTTTTAAAAAAAATTATCAAAGTTAGTTAGACTTAGCCTGGACTAACTGAATACGAGTGGTGGGATGTGGCGAGTGGTGGGATGTGGCGAGTGTTTAATGTCAAAATAAAGGTCTTAATACGAAATTCCAGTTATCGTGTCATACATCACCGGAAAGTTAGTTTCAATGGCTCTTTGAATATACTTATGGTGGCTGATAGTGGCCATGTTAAATCTCGCCCTTTTCATAACGCGACAACACGACATCACGACAGTATTGGCGCAATCATACGACACTTAACTCTGTCGTATCATCGTGTTATTTTTATCCTAACGTCGAGATGTCGACTTATTGGCCTAGTCTCTTTCTACAAGTCACAAAAATACAGCTGTACTCATTACACTCATTACATCAGATTAGATACAATAAGACTCGTCAAAAGAGATAATAGGAAAGTGTTGATTAATTATTCGTTTTCTCAAAATAATGAAACATTTTGCGCCCAAAATTGAATTATTGGTATTATATTCAAAAAATCTAGAATTATAACAGCAGGACAAAAGTGAGTCAGCTATGTTAATTCCTTGAATAAGAAGTGGTCTCGGTAGGTATCGAACAAGCATGCATTGCCTCGTGTACGACACCCACCAATAATTATAGATTACTGAAGCGATAGTTTAGAAGCGATTTCAGAAGATTTCCAATTTATTTTATTAGAGTGGGAAGGGGATTATATAAAACCTCAAATCAGATCACAGAAAATCACTGCATTGGTGTAGGGGAGGTTTTTTTATGAGGTGAAGAAAGCGATTTGCAGCTGTTATTGACCTTATCGCGTATTCATCCGTTTGGCATCACTAATGGGATCGGGGCCTAGATGATTAAAAATAGGCCCAGTATTGCCTTCAGCTATGAACACACTCCGAAAGTCCCCTACGCACCCCCCCCCTCTTATTTTGTTTAACAAATAATTTCGGAATCAATAAAATGGCAGGTCCCTATCAATGATGTTTGATACGACTGGAAATTAATGTGTCTAAAATTGATTAAACAACATAGGGTAGTAAATATTACATTTCGAATCCGTATCAATGATACATTTACTCAAAATGTTCCTTCTAATGGATCACCATTTAACTTGAAAACAAGGGAAGCAGCCGATCGAAGAAAAAAAGATTTTAAAAAAACAAGTTTTAATATGACAGTCGTGGTTCGGTCGTGCATTTACATCCGTGGGTGTCATCCTTTCTTTGAAAGTAATGATTGTGCCAAATTTGAACAAAGTCCATCTAGATTCGCGGCCTGTAGGTAAAGTGTTGACAGATAAAACGTAAAAAAAACAGACCTATAAAAATATATTTTCTAAAACTATTTTAATTTTGAAATTATATTATTTTCACATTTGCCAAGTGTTTTAGCGAATAGTTATAGAAAGGGTCTTGTCGATTAAGACTATAGCGCATGTGCAATGTGCGGTTTTAAACTTCCGAGACGACAAGTCGACAAGTCGATGATA